GCAATGACAGGTGCCTATAGTTACAGCTACTTGGGAGGCTGAGATGGGAGAATTGCTTGAACCCAGAGGCAGAGGTTGCAGTGAGCTGAAATTGTGCCACTACACTCCAGACTGGGTGACAGAGTGAGACTTTGTCTCAAAAATAAAACAAAACAAAAAAATATTCCAGTCTTTTCCTAGGATGTTCTGAGGAATTCAGTGAAGGGCCCCCAAGGGAGCAGTGCCTAGTGGGGCCAGTGAAGAGCCCTACTAGGAGAAGGGACTTGGAGCAGGGGAAGCCAGACGAGGGAACTTGAGGTTTCGAACCCCTCAGGTGCAGGCCCTATGCAGGCCAGACAAGGAGGATCTGGGCCCTCTTTCATTGAAGGACTCCTAGAGGAGCCCTTGAGACACAACATCTCCCTTCTCTCCCTCATTGTCAACCTCCAGGGAGCTCATAGGGATGGAGGGGCTGTAGTCAAATAGGGAAGTGGCCTCTGGGGATAAAGCCAAATGTTCCAGGCAAGGACTCGCCTGTAAAATAAAGTCAGTCCAGCATCAGACACAATGCAAAAGCCATCTGTTGCCTCCTGAAAAAACACTTCATGAGGAATTGCATTTGTAATGTGCAGCAAAACTTCTAAAATCCTTTGTTCTCCAACTTTCCTCTTACAAAGGGAGTTCCTCCGCTCCACCTCTCTAACTTCCCTGGGGCCCAGATCCGGCTTCCCCCATTCCAGTTTCCCTCTCCAGCCTCCTAATCTCCAGGCCTGCCTCCATCCCTAGCGGCGCCTCTGTGCAAGCCATCCAGACAGGACGGCTAGCTCCCTCGTCTTCTGTCCCCGTTTCCACCATCAACATCGAAACGGTTCAGGAGGGGATCCCCTTCCAGGGAGGAGAAGAAACTGTGACTGTTCCTAATCACAAATTGTCTCCAAGGCAAGGAATTCTGGGAGGAGCAGGCACAGGGAACCCTCTAGGAGCCTGGCATGGAGGGAGGTGAAGACAAAGGCACTCAGCCCTCACAGTGCTCCCACTGAAGGCAGGCCCTGCCCTAAGAGCTGGGGCAGTGTCTGCAAACTGAGTGAGACGCAGCCCCCGGCCCCTGAGGCCAACCGTCGGACTGCAGACTCATGGACACACAGCTCTCAGTCCACACCCCCGAAGTCAGGCTGCTCAGGGGCTCAGCCTTGGCTCCACACCGGAATTACATAGGGAGCTTAACAAACACTGATTTTCTCTGCACCAGGGACTCTGATCTAATTGGCCTGATGTGATGCCCAAGGCATCTAGGAGCATTGGCTAATTTAAAAGCTCCCTAATTGATTCAAATGTGCAGCTAGGGCTGAGATCTACCAAGCTGATCAGTTGCTCAGGAGAGCACCCCAGAGCCTGGGGCTCCAGACCACAGCTCCAGGCACAGCGACCCCCTCCCCATCCTGTTCCCTTCTTGATCCATCAGGAGGAAAGCGTTGGGGCCCAGACTCTGGCTGGCACAGAATAACTTAAGAGAGCAGTTGGGGCCTCATTCATTCATCATCTAATCATGTATTCAATAACTACTTAATATACGTGTTGTGAAGGCAATGAGAGAAACTGACCAAGGGTTCCAGTTTAGAGTCAGGCCTCTCTGAAGAGGTGATATTTAAATCACCTGAGTGGCAAGAAGGAGCCTACCCTGTAAACTGCCGTGCCAAGCAGGGAGCATGGTAGTGCAGAGGCCCTGCACAGGGAGCAAAGGGGGCACAGCTGGTGGAGAAGAGAGCAGTGAGCTGAAGTCTGGGTGATGGGCAGGGTGTATAGCAGAGGGTCTTGGAGCTGTGGTTAGGAGGTAGTTTTCATTCTCAGTGCAATGGGAAGTCCCTGGAAGGTTTTCAGGAGGGAATGAAAGGATCTGGTTTGTGTTTTTAAAAGATATTCTGGCTGCAGTGGGGGGCGGGGGGGCTGGCAGGGAGCAGGATGGACACAGGTGAACTGTCTAGTCCATCAGGGCAGAAGGCACTCCTGTGCTGAGGCCCCAGGGGAAAGGTCAAGGACCCAGCTCTTCCTTGCAACTGGGGAATGTAGGTCAGGCAGCTCCCTCAGCCAAGCTGCCAGTGCAACCCCCTCGCCTGTCAGGGGAAGAAAAGCTGAGTCTGAAATGTGTGTGCTCAGCATTGGCAGTGAAGGCAGAGATAACAGCCCACCAGGTGCAAGGATCTGGGCCACCGCCTAAGGTCCCTTCATCCCTTTTCCCAGGGTGCCTCTCCCTGCACCCCTGCACCCCCCCCCCCACCATCTTCCCAGCAGGCCAGGCCAACCCAGAGGCAGGCTTCAACCTGCGCCTGGAGCAGGTGGCTGTGTTTTAAGATCAGGGCTCAGACCTCTAAATAAACCATAAACAAAGCCAGCTTCCCCGGTATAGAAGGAGGGAGATGGCTCCATTTCTTTTCAGCACAGTGACTGGGAAATAAACAAGTGGCTCTGCCTGTCACATACATTTACCCTCTGCAAAGGCATCTGTCAGACCCACAGAGCTTCTGCCTCAGCCTTTCCAAGAAATAACTGATGTGCCCCACATCGGGCTTCTCCCTGAAGGCTCCAAGTTCACTTTGCCATTCGAGGAAAGGCACTTGTCCCTGACCCCAGCCTCATAGGAAGAGCTATCAAAAGGCAGGTTTAGACAAAGGGCCCCAGTGTAGCTGGAAGCATGTTGGCACAGCTCTCTCAGCTGGGGAATGGGATGAGGGGGAGGGAAAAGGGGAGGAAGGTAGGAGTTTGGGTGGTTGGCAGGAACAGGGGCAGAGCTGAGAGGGGCAAGGACTGGCCCCTATGAGAGAGATGAGAGGATGAGAGCCCCAGGGGCCTGGGCAGAGCCTGGTCTGCAGTTGGGGTGGCCACGGGTGTGGAAGAAATAAAGAGAAACAGAAGGCAGAGGGCTCTCTCTCTCTCTATGGGTGAAATCTCCTATGACCACAGAGGATAAAGGAGCAAGAAAAACAACAGACAGGAACAGAAGGAGGCTGGCAGATAAATGAAGCAGGGGAGGGAGGAAAGCCCTGGAAGACTCAAACTCAAGTATGTGTAGAAGGAAGGACCCTCCAAATACAGCAGGAAAAGGTGATTTATGCACTGAGCTAAACCAGATGAGCCAGGAGCCAAGGACAAGGGAATGGGAGTGGCTGGGAATGGTGGCATACTGCAGAAGCCACACACAGACATGTGGTGGTGAAGCAGAAGGGAGCTGTGAGCTCTGGAGGAGCCAGCACAGGCAGCTTGTAGTGCAAGGATGGGGGTAAGAGCTAGAGAGAGCCACAGGGCCCATGAAGGCTGTCTCCCAGGTGCTGCTGCCCAGACCCCTGCAGCAGGGACACCTTGCAGCCACCATCACCGCCAAGATGTGGGAGGTGGGATGGGAAAAGGGTGAAAGAGGCAGCAACATGGGAATTATACACGCACTGAAGCACACACCCCTCAGCAAGCATGGCACTCTCTCCACAGCTCTCCCACGGAGAGGAAGGAGATCCAGGGGTCCCCAGACTGCAGCCAGGTTCCCCGGAGCCACAGACCTCCAGTGATGGACCCAGCAGACCTAGATAGAGGCTACTCTCCACACACAGACCCTGAAAGAAAGGGAGATGAAGACAGGGATAACCAAGATCGGATTTTTCTCACTCTCTCCCTCAGACACACACACACACACACACACACACACACACACACACACACGGAAATAAAGGGTCGCTTGTATGTGTCTGGGGTAGGGCATAACAGAGGACTGGTTTCTTCTTTTAGGGACCTGAAGAAAAGCTTCCCAAAGCCGGGGGAAAGGTCAAACACAGACAAGAGGAAGCGTGTGTGGCCCTCACTACCCTACTGTCTCTCCCCCATGTGGCTGCCTCCCTGGAATCCCCCACACTTGCAGGGGCCTGCAGAGGCATGGGTGTGAAGCCCTCTTAGCAGACAACACACCTGCGCGCACACACACACACACACATGCACACACACATGTCCAGAGGCCAGTGCCTGGGACAGGAATGGTCAGGCTTGGATGCAGGAATCCCCATACAAAGCCAGATTAAGGGTCCTCTCCAGGTCCTCCAAAGAACCCTCAAGCCTTCCAGAGCTACAAAGAGCACCTCTCCAGCAAGGATGGCACTGCCAGGATTGTGGAAAGAAAGAATATGCTTCCCACTGTGGTTGTGGTGGCTGCACCATGAGTCCAGAGCCACCTGCAAGGGCTTTCCCAGGACTTCGGGCTGAGACATGTAGGTGATAGCTCCCTGCTAAGCTCACACACCCACGGTGACAGTCTTTGCAAATGGACACCACAGAGAAAGACCAAAGGGAGGGTGCGCCTCAGGGACTGGGTCCATTTCTCAGCTCAGTCCAGTAGGCAGGGCCTTAAGGACAATCCAAGGAGACCAAGAGCTCAGATCTGGGCTACCAATCTTCTTGCGAATGGGGACACAGATCCTGGGCACCCCACCCCAGCTCACATTCCCAGTCCCCACTGCCGGCACGCACATCGCTCTCAACATATTCCACACACATGAGCCCGTCACAGTCCCAAAGAATACTACACTGTACACAGCACACTGTACACACAGCACACAGGTCCCCATGCAGCACACTATGCTGAGACACATCCCGGGGTCCCCCTGTGCAGACGCACCGCACACATCTTCCCATCCGACAGAAGACCCATTTTAATGAACGCTGTACACACAGACACTGGAAAGTCCTGCTGTCCTCAGCCTACACACACACACACACACACACACAGCGCCCTGCAGTCCCGCGCAGCCCGCACATCACACCGGCCTGGACACACAGGGTGCCCACACTGAGCTCGCGACCAGAACTCAGCGACTCCTGCCCCCGCCGTGCGGCCTGCGCTCCCGCCCCCGGTGGTACTAAGCGGAGCTCCATCTCGGGCTTCCCGGCCCCCTCTTTTCCCCTCCAGCTCCTGTTCCCCAACAACCCCATCCCCGGGCTTCGGTAAACTTTTCTTCAGGTCCCTAAAAGGGGAAACCTGGAGTTCCTCCGGTCCCGCCCTGTCCCCGGACACGCACAAGCAGCTCTTTATTTCCCAGCCCTGATCCCGCCAGACCCAGCGGGGAAAGGTCACCGTAGGCAGCCCACTGCCTGCGCCCTGGGGGTGGTGATAATAACAGCTGTCACCGAGGTATGGGCGGGGGGTAGAGAGAGGTGTCGGCCCCGCGCCGAGCCGGGGGCGCAAGGTGGTCGCAGTGACGCGCCAGGGAAGCGCAGAGAAGCAGCGGCGGCAGCGGCTGCGTCTTCCGAGCCCGGGGCGGCGGCCGTGGAGCGCGGAGCTGTCCGTTCAGCACCACCGCGCGGCGCCCAGCGCAGGGCGAGAGCCAGGGCACACCCGCTCTGCTCCCGCCCCGGCTCCCCCGGCGCCTGCGGCACGGTCTCCGGCCTCTCTCGGCGGGTGAGGGGCGCGCGGATCCGGAGAGGGGGATCCGCGAGCGGGGGGACCACGCGGCCACCTGTGAGCCTTCCGCAGCTGCGGGCGGCGGCCACGGCGTGCCCGGCCCGAGACAGGAGGAGACGCTCGGCGGCCCTCGCCTGCCAGCCCGCCGGGCGCACACAGGGGCGCACACACTCGCACCCGCGCATGCACCGCTAGCAGGCAGCGGCCACCGCCGCGATGCTCGCCCGTAGGTCGGGGAAGTTTCCCGCCGGCCACGGCCGCGGGCGCCCGTGCTCCCAGGTAAGCGCTTCCAGAACGTGCAGGGCGAGCCCGGGCTGCCCGGCTGGGTGAGGCGCAGCACACGCGGCCCGGGGGCACAGCGCCAGGCGGGCGGGCGGGGAGACCCGGGCCGGGGACGCGGGGGCTGCAAGGATGGGAGCTGGGCGCAGCGGAAGCAGGGACGACCCCCATTCTCCCGGCCCTGGTTTCCAGACTCCGTATCTCCCCCGCCCCCTCCCCAAAGCCACTCGCCCCCAGTGTTGGCCCGGCCCTGCCCGTGCGTATCTCAGCTCCGGTCCCGCCTGTTTGCGGCGAGCGGGCGGGGGCGTCTCCCGAGCCTGCCCAGGGGCAAGGTCAGCATGCAGCCCCTGGGCGCTCGGAGCTGTGGAGACGCGACCCCGCACGCGCAAAGCACCCACTGAGACCCCGGGGTGGAACCGTGCTAATAGAAACATACCCACCCCCAGCCTTTCCTGAAAGGGGGCCAGACCCCTCAAACTCTTGCCCCAGCACGGTGCCCTTCAGAACCCAAGACCCACCTAGGAGGCCTGGGCCTGCCAGAAATTGGTGGGGAGAGGGGGCGCTGGGCCAGGGCGCACGGCGCTCTCGCCGACGCTGTTCCCTCCGCTTCCAGGTGTAGCGCCCCCGCGCGGCGCAGGCGGCCGGCGCCTCAAGCATGACCGGCCAGAGCCTGTGGGACGTGTCTGAGGCCAACGTCGAGGACGGGGAGATCCGCATCAACGTGGGCGGCTTCAAGAGGAGGCTGCGCTCGCACACACTGCTGCGCTTCCCCGAGACGCGCCTGGGCCGCCTGCTGCTTTGCCACTCGCGCGAGGCCATTCTGGAGCTCTGCGATGACTACGACGATGTCCAGCGGGAGTTCTACTTCGACCGCAACCCCGAGCTCTTCCCCTACGTGCTCCATTTCTATCACACCGGCAAGCTTCACGTCATGGCCGAGCTGTGCGTCTTCTCCTTCAGCCAGGAGATCGAGTACTGGGGCATCAATGAGTTCTTCATTGACTCTTGCTGCAGCTACAGCTACCATGGCCGCAAAGTGGAGCCCGAGCAGGAGAAGTGGGACGAGCAGAGTGACCAGGAGAGCACCACCTCTTCCTTCGATGAGATCCTTGCCTTCTACAATGACGCCTCCAAGTTCGATGGGCAGCCCCTCGGTAACTTCCGCAGGCAGCTGTGGCTGGCGCTGGACAACCCCGGCTACTCAGTGCTGAGCAGGGTCTTCAGCATCCTGTCCATTCTGGTGGTGATGGGGTCCATCATCACCATGTGCCTCAATAGCCTGCCCGACTTCCAAATCCCTGACAGCCAGGGTAACCCTGGCGAAGACCCTAGGTTCGAAATTGTGGAGCACTTTGGCATTGCCTGGTTCACGTTTGAGCTGGTGGCCAGGTTCGCTGTGGCCCCTGATTTCCTCAAGTTCTTCAGGAATGCCCTAAACCTTATTGACCTCATGTCCATTGTCCCCTTTTACATCACTCTGGTGGTGAACCTGGTGGTGGAGAGCACACCTACCTTAGCCAACTTGGGCAGGGTGGCCCAGGTCCTGAGACTGATGCGGATCTTTCGCATCTTAAAGCTGGCCAGACACTCCACCGGCCTACGCTCCCTGGGGGCCACTTTGAAATACAGCTACAAAGAAGTAGGGCTGCTCTTGCTCTACCTCTCCGTGGGGATTTCCATCTTCTCTGTTGTGGCCTACACCATTGAAAAGGAGGAGAACGAGGGCCTGGCCACCATCCCTGCCTGCTGGTGGTGGGCTACTGTCAGTATGACCACAGTGGGGTATGGTGATGTGGTCCCCGGGACCACGGCAGGGAAGCTGACTGCCTCTGCCTGCATCTTGGCAGGCATCCTGGTGGTGGTCCTGCCCATCACCTTGATCTTCAATAAGTTCTCCCACTTTTACCGGCGCCAAAAGCAACTTGAGAGTGCCATGCGTAGCTGTGACTTTGGAGATGGAATGAAGGAGGTCCCTTCGATCAATTTAAGGGACTATTATGCCCATAAAGTTAAATCCCTCATGGCAAGCCTGACGAACATGAGCGGGAGCTCACCAAGTGAACTCAGTTTAAATGATTCCCTACATTAGCCAGGGGAACTTGTCGCCCTCCACCCCACATTGCTGAGATGCCTCTTGTGCCGCTGGCACAGCCCAGGCACCTTGTGGTTATGGTGTAAGGAGTATGCCCAGCCCCAGAGGGGAGAGATGCATGGGATATGCACCCAGATTTCTTTTACAGTATTTAGAATCGTTTTTAGAGGGTGGTGTGTCTGACACCATGCCTTTGCACCTTTCCATGAAATGATACTCACTGGTCTTTGCATTGTGGACATAAAATGTTCACCTTTTTGCCAGATGAGTACACCCAGAATGCTAATTTTTCTGTTCATCGTGTACACTATTCTAGTGCTTGTGGCCCAGTACTGTCTGTGAGTTGTCATGATCCTGTTTCTGAGGTTGTCGTTGTGAGTTCTGTACAAAAAGCGCCCACAAGTCTGTCCAGTGGAAATGCATCTATGAGATCAGCAAGGATATCATGAGATTTTGCTCACAGTCACGTGAAAACAAAATCTCAGCTCTGTATCCATTGCTTTCATTTAGTTTTAATACCAAAACAAAGAGAATGCAAAATTAAGCACACTTGACCAATGCAAGTCTGTAAGTCGTTTTTATAAATGATCTGTGGTTCCATGACTTGCATGGGTGCACCCATCATCTTTAGAACAATGTACACTGATGTTCATCTCATAAATGTCACTCTTTAGAGAATGTTACTTAGTTAGACATGTAGTGAAGATGGAAATTTTTTCCCAAGAACAGATACGTTAGGGAGAAGGGCTTCAGCTAAATAGTCCAAACCCCAGTGTGGGTAAGGCCCAGTCAGTGCAGGCTGAGCCCCTTGGTTGATGGTCAAGCCTCCGTGTTTCCTAGGGTGACTGCAGAGACATGTATTTCTGGTCAAGGTTGCTGAACTAGGCCATTTGACCACACTTTTCTGTGTCTAAGATATTAGCATGTTTTTGAAATATTTATTTTTTAAGATGTTTAGGAGTAAGGTCATGTTGTCTTCCTCAACTAAAAAGAAGTTCCCTGTTGTATCGTCTCCCTGAGGTGAACATGGTTGGGTTGCTAGCAAGGGCAGTAGCTTAAATACTTTTGTTGCCTGCTCTGAAAGCTCATCAAATGAGAGCCCTTTTATTTCCAAGCAGAATTTACTCAGATCATTTTGCTTCTAGGATATATAGTATGTTGTGGATGATGCTGTGATTGCCCTGGAGTTCCTGCCATGGCATGGAAACCTAGTGGTATAGAAGCATGTACTCAAAATACAGACGTGCATGAAGGCGGTGTGGCTTACCCAGAATGGAAATGCGCAGTTCTTATGTGCATTGCAACTGCCTTTTATTGGGAGAGAGTGGGTAGAGACCAGGAGAAAGGAAAGAGTTGTAAAACAAAACACTGCTACTTCATAAAATATCATAAAAAATTGTAAACTTGAAAAGCTTTATTCCATGTTATTCAAGACCTTTGAGCTTATAAACTTGTATTGAAGGGAGATGACTGTTTCCTCCTCCAAAATGCTCCTGCCCCTCTTCTTTGGTTAATCGTCACATAACATCGTGATGGGAACCTGTGTTGCTCTGTAATATAATTCTCCGTCATCTTCAAGGTAATCCGATGGTTTTCCAGGTTGCTTTCATCTTTGAAAAGGCAGTAGAACCCAGGGATCTGAGCATGGAGCTATCCAGGCTTTTCATCCAAAAGTTGGGCCTCTGCTTAACAGATCTTTTTGTGTTTCAGTTGATTGAAGATGATACATACCTCATGGAGGTGTGGCAAGGATCTTCTCAGAAGGCTTTGTGTACTTGTGGTTGCCATGGCTACTACAGTGTGAGTGATTTATTGAATGAATTCACTAGCCACTTACACCCTGGAGCCCCCAGTTTAAATCTTTCCATCAGACTGGAGGCTCGTGGGAGGGCGGGAGGGGGCCGTCTCCTAGTGTCTACATCTGTGTCTCTGAAGCATCTGGAAAAAACAGATGTCTTAGAGGCAACAGGGCACTGAATCAGAGGAGCAGCGTTATTTTTCAGAATTTGCACATGGAACACTTAGCTTTGGCTGATACTTCCAGCCCTGGAAAGCATAACATTTACAGAACCATCCCCAGCTGCACCGAAGGCAGGTGGTGGTACAGACTTGTGAGGACCGTTCAGCTTGCCAAGGCTGATGGTATTGGGTCACTGAGCCTAGTTTCCATGGTTGCTGACCAGGAAGCTTGTGCATAGTGGAAACAAGGAAAGGGGCAGAGTAACTCAGTCTAACTAAAGAGGTACCCTAGTGGTTACCCTTTGCAGATGTGAAAACTGGAAAACTTGACTTTTCTTTTCGGTAATGACTTGCATTTATCTGGTGCCTTTCATTGGAGGAATCCCAAAGTGCTTTAGAGACTATCTTTTTGATATCTCTTGCACATATATATAAATATACTTGTATAAAATAATTTCTTGCCCACCTGGACCATTAGTCACTTCTGAGCATGGGAATGTCCCAATAGCATTGAGTTTTTCAAGTGGTGGTTTCAGATAAGTGGGCAAGAGAACAACCCGGCTGGCTTGAACCCTGGAGCTAATTCCCACAAGGGATGTAGACTGAAGGGTGACCCGGGGAGAAATAATCTTCCTTTCCCCTAAAGTCCCACCAAGGTGTGAAGTTTACAAGTGCTCTCCACTGGGTCTTTGATTGGCCTTGCTAAATAACATCTAACCAACACTTTCTTTTAGTCCCTGAAGCTAAGGAGGGAGGGTCAGGTTAACTTTCTGCATTGCTCTTGGAGCAAAGGCTAAAAGTATGCGGTGACATCGTTGGCAACCAGGCTGTCAGACTGACCTGTACACCTCCTTTAGGAGGACAGAGTAGAAACTGGAGATGACCTGTTTCTAGCTGTGAGCTTGAGAGAAGCATCACTGCAAACATTTGAAGGTTGTTGCTTTCAATGCCATTGGGACAAATACATGGGCCGGGCTTTAATATCTGTGATGTGCATTTTGGAATTGCTGGGTTGGGAAGTGGCTCGTGTCTGTTGCACAAATGCATATGGGTTATAGGTTTGTGTTTTCTGCCAAACCCCCACATTTCTTGGGTTTGCAAGTGAGGAAGGGCATGTTGTAATGCCAAGTTGGTTTGTAGCTCATAAGGTAGTAATTGGTATTTAACATCTGGATTTATTATTTCTACTTGTCTTAGCACTCAAATAATTGAACTACCTGCCAATTCTTGCCTCATTTCAAAGGAAAAACGTTGTTATGCACTTTGGGATAGTGGTGATCTGTACAGGCTAGGCTGTGTGTTAGCTACTTGAAGGCTTATCTGGTATTTCTTGTATGTCTTAACAGCATGACTTGTTACAGAGTTGTGATTTTTAAAATTGAGAACACTGTATTTGAGATGTCAGTTTTAACACTCATTAACACACTACTGTGCAAGCATTGATGCAGGCTGCGCTGAACCATGATGTCTGATTGCTGCACTCTCATCTCCAGGCCTTGATTTGGGAATGGGCAGTAACACTAATGCACTCAGGATTCCAGCCTCAAAAAGTGTGCAGATTAAATATAGACAAAAATGATTTGTACCTCTTATAAGAGCACACAAAGAGGGCATTCAAAGTTGGGGTCCGGATTTCCTTGAGAAGGCTGTTTTTTATTTTTGTTTTTATTTTTAGCAATTTTGGGGAAGGAGAAGCTGTTGTTTATTCTTTGTAAAGGTGGGGTCCTGGTGTTCCAGGGTCTCGAACCACTAGCCTCCTTTGTAGAAGGTATGGTCATGTATTCTTGGAACCCTTGTGAAACTGACACCCCTGCAGGATTTTCTTCCCACAACCTTTCCTGCTCAGCACCTCTATCAGCCTACCCTGACAGCCCCACCCTGTCCTAAAGTGCCACTCTTCCTGACACCAAAGTAGCTCCCTAATTGTAAACTGGGTTCTGGGTAACCCTGAGTGTCCTGTCTGGTTGGACATGAATACTTCTGGGGGATACATGGAGACACTTCTTGGCACTACTTAACCTAGACTGAGAGTATGAGCCAACCCAAAGGCCATAGTGAATCAGTAGGAAGGCCAGTTGGTGACTTGGTTCTACTGGGTTTTGCCTTCAGCCCCGTGATTGCTCACAAGGAGCTCTGATGTGTATGGAGCAGATGGCTCTCCCATCCAGCACTCAACTCACACTGAGCAGTGGTGGCATCTGCAGGTGGCCTTGTTTGTGTACACGGCAGAAGGGTGTAGAAATCTGTGCTAACCTTGCCCCACACTCATTGAGGCTGAGGAAGGACGCACAGCACCGCTCTCCAACCTTGCCATGGTATTTGCGTCCCATCAGGTGGTGTGTAGCTCAGCTCCTCCCCTTTACCCACCATCCCTGCAGCAAGGGATATATATAAATGGATGTTTAGGGGTGTTTTAGGGCAAGATGCCTTACATATTAAAAGGAAAAACAAACACCTCCTCTTGAGGGGAGAACTTAGATGCTGCAAGTACACGGTCATCATCTCCTCTTTAGGAGAATGTTTAACCCACTTTTCCACCCGAGGACCTTACATGGGTGCACCATCTGGTTGACACTGCAGGTCTGAAACTCTGCAACATTTTCCTCCTTCATGGGACCTCACTTGTCAATAGCACCATCCTTCTGGATAAATTCTCCCAAGCAAATGACTGCGTCTGCAGCTGGCAGCTGATGCATTCAGAAGAAGAGACGCAAACAAGGCCTTAGAGACCTGCGGAGGAGAAAGAGAGGAAGGGGAAAGAGATACAAGAGAGGGGGAGAGGAAGGCAGCCATGCCTTGGAGTTGTGTGAGGTCCTACAGAAGGAACAGGGGATAGGAAGAAACCGGAAAACAGAGGGAAAGATAGAGGAAAAAAAGAGGGAGCAGGAGAGAGTGAATAAAGGGAAAGGCAGAGAGTAAAAAGAGAGGCTATGCCTATTGGCATTATTTTAGGCCTTCCATTGAGTTTATTTCCAGTCAGCATAGGGTGCTCCTAGCCCAGCAGGGCCTCTTGGAGGGAACCATCACTGGGGCTGCTCCCACTGAGCTCCACCTGGACTGGTCCCCCATCCCCACTTGCCAGAGGGCTCCACAATCTGGTAGGATAGAGAACTCAGGAACCCACTGGAAGCATTTTGGGATGAAGAGGGCAGTGAGGACACAAGAAAGAAGGAATAAATGTTTCCTCTGTGAAGACAGGACTTCTGGGCTACAAAGAGAAAGCGGACTCCAGGAACCAGCCAGACAGGGCGTGGTGCTGGGAGTCTGGGCTGGACAGGCGGAGGGAAGGGAAAGGGAAGAAACCTCTTCCTCTAGGAGCAGGGACCTGCAGAAGGAGGCCAAAGCCCCAGCATGTGTGCAGAACGTGGAAGTCAGTGTGTCTAGAGAGAAGCAGTGCAGATGTGGGCAGAGCTGGGCCGTCTGAAGAGCCTGAACTTCACTCTTTTGTCACATTCTTTTGTCATTTTCTGACCAGATGAATGTTGTTAGAATATGACTCTAGCAGCAGTTTGGAAGTGTGAGAGTGGACAGGTGGCTGATTTGAGGTCACAGTCACAGTATAGACCAAAAGGAGCAGGGTGGGGAGGAGGGGCAGTGCAGGACAGCGGGGAGGTGGCTCTGCAGGACTCCAACGGTGACTGGATGTGGGGTGAGCAAGAGGATGGCTTCTGGGTTTCTGGCTGGGTTGGTGGCTGGGTGGATGGTGATGTCACCTGGAGAGACAGGGAATACTCAGAGCCATATTTCCCGAGTGCCTGGACACACAGAGGGGGTGCGCGGTGGGCAGAGGGAGGACTGGGGTTGGAGTCCTCAGCTTAGAGGTGGAAGTGGAGACCATGGAGAGGCCAGGTGGCCTCCCCGAAGGAGACTGGCATGGGAAGCAGCCCTTGAGGATGAGTGAGGCCATGGCCTTGCTTTTCTCAGCTGACCCCTTATTCGCCAACCTATTTCTCTCCTTTCCCCTGAGAAATTCTGGGGGTGACCTCTACTGGCGACCTCAACTTTCCTCTCCAGCCACTTCTTTGTTTTCTCTGCGACTGGCCTGTTCCCACCACCCTTTTGAAACTGTCTTGATGGTCACCAGTGCTCTCCTGACAGCCAAATTCAGTGGCTTGCCCTCCATTCTTAAGCTCTTCTGAATTCTTGGCTACACAGATCAGCCTCTAAGTTCATGCACTCCCTCCTTTGTGATTTTGGGACCCTGTGGGCTTTGGGCTCTGGCCTCCCTCCCATCACCCCACGGTTCTTCCTTCTCCTCGGACCCCTCCCTCTTCTGTTTCCCCCACAGTTCTGTTCACAGCTTCACTGTCCCTAGGAGCCTGCTACACCCTTTATCCACCTGCAGCCTCAACCCACATGCAAAGAATCCCCGTGTCTCCTGCCGGATGCCCTCACTCCCGAGCCCCACACCCACGTCACCCCTGTGCGTTCATACTCACCCTCTCCAAAATGGAACTTCCCACTTTATTCCAAACTTGCTCTTCCTCCTGACTCTTCCTCATTTCTCTCAATGGAACTGCAGTGCTCCC